CATAAATGTGACAATAAATATACGTCAGTTATAATTAAAGGAAGAAAGTTATTTCAAGAAAAATTTGTGAGCGATATTCGATGGGAACTATCAATACTATTATCGGCAGGATGTTGTTGAGCTCCGTGCGTGCTCATGACGTCATTTGCGTTTTTATTCAATATTGATGCAGGAGTCATTCCCCTTTGTTTATTTTATTGTTAATTTTCATTGGAGGAAATGTAGTGTAGTTGTAGTGTGTATCGGGCTACTGTTGTCAAGCACTAGTGTGTTGTATACAGTATACCGGAAATCTTACTCGTTTTTACTCACATCACGTGACAAAATAATTGACTAAGCGACTCCCATTATTTTGTGCCTAAAATTTAATTTCTTTTAATATTTTTTATTCATTTTGTTGCAGAAGCTAGATGTCCAAGAACATGGCTCAACAAATTTCTAACTCTTAGTGTAACTCTAACTCTTAGTGTAACTCTAAGTCTAACTCTTACTCTGAGTCTTTTCCTTTTTCCCGCAGATCATGTGCCAACAGAACCTTTTTTGAAAAGAATGGCAGGAAATAATAAAAAACGTTCAATTGATCGTTCAGGCTGATGGGCGTGTCCAGATAGCAGGCTGATGGGCGTGTCCAGATAGCAGGATGATGGGCGTGTCCAGATATCAGGCTGATGGGCGTGTCCAGATAGCAGGCTGATGCGCGTGTCCAGATAGCAGGCTGATTCCATATTTAATTTTTTTGAACTTTCACTGATCGAAATTCAGAAATTTGACAAAGTGTTGATGAGACTGGAAGTCGGTTTTCTTCCAAAGTTCATAATTCTATGCAACGGTTTCAAGTTCTTTGAGTTGAAAAGACATGAAAAGACATATGGATGAAATGCGACAGAAAATTCTTTGAGCCAAATCGGCTTCGTGATCACATGAAGAGACATGAGAAACCAAACCTAAGACCCCGCCAGGCTCCAAGCATCAACTCAGCAGCACCTGCGGCGTTGGCTTGGCCAGGAAGGCCTATCTGATCAAGCATAGGCACGAGACACACAGGCAATAAGCAGTTAGTTGACTCGTTCAAGTTCAAATGCCATAAAAATGACCACAAGAAGGGTGATAATGCACTTACAGTACAGTGGGCCCACTACTTTACAAGTGAACAATGACCTTCCACAAACAGAATCCAAAGTTTCACAGTCCGTTTATGTGATTCGGACTAAAGTTTCTAACAAGTCAGGGTTAGAATGTTTAGAAGTTTTAAAAATTCTTGAGCAAGTGCAAGGTAGTCCTGGTGAGATCATAGTTGCCCCAGAAAGTCATCGAGTGTAAGTTAATTCAGACAGCAATGAGAAAAATCACTTAACAGACCTGTTGACCCTCAAACTCATAAAATCGTACAATATCATCACAAAATCGTTCAATATGTTACCGGGTATCTTAATAGTAAAAAAAACAACCAACATGCAGTATATATAATGTATAAACCTCAAAGTCGTACATTGTACGCCAAAATCGTAAGAGTAAACAGGTCTGACTTAGGCACCGTTGGCGAGTAATCACCGCCGACTCCCCAGTGTGAGGTTATTATTCGAGAAGTTTGGTGAACATCATTTCTGTGATGTGAGCAGAGATCTAGGCTTCTGAGTGATGCACGCTAGCACCCTGATCTGAAAATAAAACATTTCTTTTGCAACTCTGATGTGAGCTCAGCCTCCAGCATCAAAGAGCTATTTTTGTATCCTTGATGAAAACAGACTGATAAAAGAAAATAATAGTTTATAACGTTAGAAAAATGTCCCCATGTTTATTTTTGGGGTGGATCTTTGTCTACATCTCGCTAGTTCTGGTAGCTCCGACTTCTTGCCACTGGAATCTTGATAAAATACTTGCCCCACAGCTCCAAATTGAGTGATGTGTACAATGTGTACCTCATTATTCAAACCAGTAATCATTGGCTTGGTTATACGTTAAATAAATTGTAAAAAAAATAAAAATAATGATGATAAATGTTACTGCCAAACCTAAGTGATGCTCTGAAGAGAGAAATTTTAATCCCTGATCTTTTTCATTGAAGTGCAAAATTAGCCCAATGAAGAACACATTTTTTAGAAAAATTAAACTAGGTCAATCAATATTTTATAGTTAAAAGTAAGACAAACATTTTTTTTTATTAATTACATAAGTCAAATATTTTTTTAGAATTTTTTAGTGTAATTTATTATAATTACACTCCAAATGTTATGAAATTTTAAAGAAAAAAATGTGAACTTCTGTCCAGTAAGTTAACTAAGAAAATGTCTTCTTCTATTCCTTAATAAATTTAATGATGAAAAAAACACTACCGGGTACCAGTTATTCACAATTTGGTATTTATTATTTGAAATAACCATCACAGCATTTCTAGTTATCAAATAGAGAATAATATTCATTTAATACAGGAAACACAATGCCATGTCTCAACAAGAAATTAGTCAATGGTAGTTGATCATACATTTATTATCAAAATAGAAGCCTCTAGCTCTGGCTCTATATTGATATTCATATACATTATATTACAATACCAGTACTTAAAAGTTACTTTAAAAAACTCATTCATGCAAAAGGACAAACGCACACTGTGTGAGCCAGTGACACTAAATCTTAAGGATTTCAAGTTATTCTGTTCAATAATTGTGCAAACGTTTGTCATATTTTAAGTTACATATTTGTTGGGTTTTTTAAAAAATAATTTTCCCCCATTTGTCACAAAGTTCATAATCATTGCATGCAACAATAAGTTTTAATTTAAAAAAAAAATAAGACATTTTCAGCTCCGTTCATTTCCCTAAAGGACTGGCAGTTTCTTGAATTTAATCACACTTTTATTTAACCATGGTACTAATTAAGTATTTTCCTGGCGCTGAATCCGGGGAAAAGGAATCATTAGAATAAATTGAAATAACTAATAAAGACATTTATGTCAAACAGTGTTTGTGCTTTCTTTCCAATTAAATAAATGAGAACCCAACAATTTGTGTGAGTAAAATTGTACAGTTAAGCTGGAAAGTTTATTAAAAGACAAAATAAATACAATTATAAGACATTTCAATAAATGCTTTCATCAGCAGCTAGGATATATATATTATGTAAGATTTAATTTACATTAAATTTGTGCAATTTTTGTTATGAAATACTTTCTGATGATCACCATAATCCATATTTTTTTGTTACAAATTTAATAGCCTCTCTATATAGTTGCAAGAAATATTTTGACTATAAATAAATGTAACTAAAAGTTAAACTTAACTTTACACTTATTGATCTATTTCCTTAGTTTTAGAAAGTATAGATCTACCTAGATCTAAATCAGATCTACCTAGATCTAAATCATGCATAAAAAAAACCCAATAAATTTCAATGTTTTGAGTTTGCATTTGAAATTCATGATAGAATCGTCTATATTCCTTCACAGCGTCTGGTTCAAATTTGCTTGAATGACTTAAAAAATTGTCCTATTGTTTTACCATTTAAAATCTGATTTCACTCTGGAAGGCTCTAAGTGTACCGGGTATTTTAATAGTAAAATAAAATTCTCATTGACAATTCATAAATATCTAAACTTCTAATTGTGTGCAGCTTTTTAACCAGCAACAAGATTCTGAAAGAACAAAAAAAAAACGTAGCAGTACCATATTATTTCACTTTCCGGTATGTTTTCTTTTAATTTTAGTAGCCATTTGCATTTCCCAAATTCCATTAGAGTTAAGGCGGTGGAGCCAGTTGTTCATTACAACCTTGAGATCTGCAATGACAATAACAATGATTGTTTCTCCGGCTGCCAGTAGATAGCTAAAAAAATTGTTAATACACACTAAAAGATCACTTATGGGGCATGGAAATATTTTTATTTATGACATGACAGAAGTGCTAAATGGCAGTACATTTGTTAGAGGTATCAGATTTGTTGACATCGGCAAGGGCTGTTGAAGCTCTTCAACTAGACTAAGCGAGTGCTGTTCCATTCCCCGGTCATCAGTTGACTGACCCACCATCATGTGATGATGGATCCGTAGGTCACCTTCGTCCTGCGGCTCGATGTGTTGTAGGGGCTGCAGCTGTTCAATCTGTGGCCTCTCTATCATATTTCCCACATTTTCTGTTTTCTCTTCACATTGCTTTCCCTGTTTCGAGAAAGCTTTTGCATGGATTTTCTTGTGGCGATTTAGTTTTGACGAGTCTGTAAACTTTGATCCGCAAGTGTCACACCCATAAGGCTTTTCACCAGTATGGATACGCATATGTCTTATGAGGTATGGTTTAACAGCAAATGAAGTGCCACACACTTCACAAACATACGATTTCTCTCCAGTGTGTATTCGCTTATGTCGATGCAGGGATGAATTGTCCGCAAAATTCGTTCCACAGACTTTGCATATGTATGGGCGTTCTCCCGTATGAATCCGCTTGTGTCTAGTTAATGTCGAGTGGTCCGCAAATCGAGAGTTGCACACATCACAAATATAAGGTTTTTCCATAGTGTGCGTCCTCATATGTCTTGTAAATGCAGCAGTCCATGCAAAGCTGGTGTCACAGATTTTACATATATATGGTTTTTCCCCAGTATGCTTTCGTTGATGGCTTTTGAGTTTGGAAGCTTCAACGAATTTGGCTCCACATGTGCTACATTCAAAAGGCTTCTCCCCTGAATGTATTTTCATGTGATCTTTCAGGTGCTGTGAGCGAACAAATGTTCCATTGCAATGGTTACAGGCATATGGTCGCTCGCCAGTATGTTTACGCTTATGCAACTTCAAGGCAGATGGATCTGCAAATTTAATGTTACAGGTGTCACATGAGTATGGTTTTTCTTTAGTGTGAGTCCGCCTGTGCCTCTGCAAAGATGTAAAATCTGCAAAGTTTCCACCACAGAATTCACACGTGTAAGGTTTTTCCCCAGTGTGCGTGCGCAAGTGACGTGTGTAAGCAGCTGTCCATGAAAATGTGTGGTGACATATTTCACAAGAGTAGGGCCTCTCACCTGTATGCTTACGCAGGTGGACCTTGAGTTTGGAAGCTTCAGGAAATGATGCACCACAAGTCTCGCACGTGAACGGGCGCTCTCCTGTATGCTGTCGAACATGGACCTTGAGATGAGACGGACTTCCAAAGTTTGCGGAGCAAATGTCACATTTAAACCTCCTCTCTCCCTTGTGCGCCAGCCTGTGCTGCCTCAGTGACATCGTATCAGGAAAACTCTGTTTACACATCCGACATTTAAAAGTTTGTCTATGCAGGTAGGCATTACTCCCACCACTGCACATGTGCACATTACTCCCACCACTGCATATGTGCACGCCGAGTGATATATCGTCTGCAAAACTCTTGCCGCATTTAGCACAGAGGAATTTTTCGGTTTTTATATCCACACCCACGGCAACTTCTTCAGTCTTAATTTTACTATCTTTTGGCAATATCTTCACAATCTTACCACTTGTAACTGTTAATGATGGTGAATCTTTTTTGTCTGTCAAAAGTTCACTTTGTTTCTTAACCGATTCCTTGTTTGATCTTTTTGAGCTCCTCAACTCCCTAGAAGATGCTCCCAACATTTTTGTTGCATTGATCCTTCTGTTAGAGCTATCCACAGATCTATTTACTTTTGTCTTTGTCCATGAGCTCTCTTGAGAACCAGTATATGTGTGATGACCAAATTCTGAGGAGCACCCACTTTGGGCTGATTCTGGACCGGCCTCCATCACTTTGGAACAGTTTCTTTGAGGTGCTGTGGCTTCGTCATGAACAAAGTTAAAAGAATCTTCAGCTGTATTTGTGCCCACATCTCTGACAGTCTTATGTATATTCATGCACTGACTAGAGAACTGTGCCAGCTCTTCGGTGCCAACACTGGCATCTCTGTACTGCACTTGTTCTGTGCCAGTCATGGCATTTTTACTGTTTTCACTCTTCTCCACCTTCCTGCATATTTCCAATGTTTTGTGAAAATCCAGCTCTTCTGTCTTCAGGAGACACTGTCTTAAAGAGTCATCAGAAATCCCATTAATAATGCAGTCTTTCATGAGAATATCCTTTAAGTCTCCAAATTCACAATTTTTTGACCACTTCATGAGATCATGAAGAAAATCATTAAACTCGCTGCTACACTTTTCCTTGCACGTGAAGAACTTGAAACGGTTGTAGACGATGAGAAAGCGCGGCAGGCAAACATCCTCCAGCTGCTGCAATATCCTATTGAACTTCAAAGCTTCGTCGTAAGTAAGGCCAAACATACTGAACAATTCCTGCACGTGCTCCGCAGCAATGTTAATGAGGAAAGCCTTAACAAGTCCTTGCACATGCTGCTGATGGCCGTCTGAGCTGTGGTGGACATGTGCGTTGAGTCTCTGCTTCATATAGGCCCATTCTCGCCCTACGTTTGTCAGCTCCACGTAGTGTGGAAGGGCGATACCGAACTCCATGTGATCCATGCAACAAGTTTCAAATTATTTTAAATAAAATTATACTTCAAACCGACACCAAAAGCTTGTCTGCTTCTACATATTTCTGAGAATAATTGATGTGTCAAATCATTTCAATGTCCCTTTCAAGGTGCAGTCAATCTCTGGAAAATATAAAATTAACATTTATTACCGGTACTATTTAACAAACAAAACAAAAAGATTGATTAAATTTAAATAGCTATATTTTTGTACGAGTTCTATCCAAAATTCACTTCAAAAAACCAAGATAAAATTGGTCAAATGGCAATAATGTCTTTGTTTTAATCTATCTCTTTGTTTTGTTCATTCTCAGCCAGTTATAGGAAACAAATGTTTCAAAGTCCCAAAAGGCTTTATTCACCTCTGAAATTAAGTTGTACAAATTAACAGTGGTATAAATTTGAAACTCTTGGCCTAGAGTTTAAATGACCAAATCCATGACCTAAATAAATAGATGCTTCCTTTTTAAACTGAAATAGACTTTTCTGTAACACATGATTCTATACTCGGTAAAGATAAAGCATCCAATCAGACTTATTCCCTAGTTGTTCTGTTCTGTTTTTTTTTAAATGCTTCAACTGAGAAAATCAACGCTTGGCTGAGCAATTGGTTTATCATTAGTATGTTGAGCATCTGGGGCATTCAATAATGTATCAACATTGGGAAAAGATCACTCAATATTGTCTTCCATACTTCCATTATTATTTTTTAATGTTCGGTATGATGGAATTTGGTTTTTGTTGCACTGAATTTATGCCACAGATAAGCATGAAACTGCCGAAACTCAGTTGCAATATTGTTATTTAAACTTTAAGTCCTGTCAAGAAGAAATTAACTGCCTCTTGACAGCAGTCTGGCATATGAGATTAGTGTATGGGCTGTACAGGGTACATACAAAGCAAAGAGGTTAGTTTTAATTTTAATTTTACAATTTTAAGGTAAGATGATATTTGAAGGCAAAGATGTTGAACATGAACCAGCTTTTGCTAGCGACACCAAGGATTTCAATTGGATGGAAGTGGCTGTGTCCATTGTTGATGACAAAGTTTGTGTTTGTATCGGCTACTGTGTAACATGTTGCAGAACTTGAGACAAGAAATAATTTGGATATGCAGTTTTGAAAAAAAATATCCACACAGCTTTCTCTTGCGTCTGTTTTGATCATTTTAATTTGTCTGAACAAATTAATTAACTGAGCATGTTGTAGCTCGCTTCATTCTAGGGTCTAATTTATAAAGGACTAGCCAATATACCTGGAGTGGCCCGGGATTGCATTAGGACCACTATTGCGGCGCAGACCTGTTTCCTGGTGTGATCCTGATGGCATCCCGTTCCCGGATGGGATTGCATAACCGATGGGTTCCAGATAACTGTTGGATCTCATTCCACATTAGGATCCTGTTCCTCTATGGGATCATGCTCTGTGCAATTTTGTTCAAATAAGCTACTACCTGGTAGATCCCATTATATATCCCCGTATAAAAATAAAGAACCTTATAGAACATTCTAGTTTAAATTTAATATCCTCCATGAAACGTGAAAAAAATTTATGTTCTACATAATTATTACAAAATATTATACAACTAAATTGTACTACTATAACTATAGTACATTTAAATTGTAAAAGGGGGCCATTTAATAAAGGACCGTTTTAGTTATATCTGAGATGGGGGAAAGGGGGGGGGGGGGCTATAAAAATCATTCAGATAAATTATAGAGTTAAAATTTAAAATTTCTCCAATTTAAAATCGGTTTTAAAATGCCATAGATATAACTTTTTAAAATTATCAAACGTTCTAGAACTAGAAAATTCTAGATCGGCTCTGCATGGGTTGGATATTATTAGTTTTAAATCCACTGATATTTCAATACGGACGATAAAGGGTATTGCTACCATAACTACCAAGCTAGGCATAGATCCATGAATACACATAGAACCTATAGTGTTGTCTAAGCCTATTGATATTTATATAGCTTATTTAAGAAAAAAATGAAATGGAGCCCGAAATGGGGCCCCCGGCCCCAAAGGAGTGGATATTATGAGTTCAACACCATTCAGTATTTGAATATGGATAATCAAGAGTATGTGTACTAAGTTTGGTCAAGATCCATTTATTCATTGAGGAGTATTTGTTGTTCATTTATTTATATAGCTCATTTAAGAAAGAAAAAATGAATTCAGGGCTCAAGTCTTTCTGACTGAGTAATGAGTGTGACTAAATAAATTATACATAAATTTAATTTTTGTCTGTCTCTAATTCCCATCTTGCTACTCTTAAAACTTAAAGCAAGACAAGACAATAACTCAGTGTTGCTAACCATTCAGTTAAGAATTAAGGTGAAAAGTTTTTACTTTTCAGTTTGACTCAAAGTTTGACTTTGATCTACTGAGTAAATCTTTTTTTAGGCCATCTACTTAATGAGCGTCGGCTATGAAAAAATCCAGTTCTTCCGGTTTGAATTGATATTTAAACAATTTTTATTAATATTTCCACAGGAAATACCACCATGAACAGTAGAGAGAGGGTTTTTGGTCATGTAGAAAGAGATAGTGGGCCCTGTGTTCTCATGGAAGTGACAGACCAATGTGCGATCATGTTACCAGAATGTTCATTGTCATTGTTATCATTATACATGAAATATTCATTTGATTTCAGCATAAATATAATAATTGATACAAATAATAATATAATTCAAGGCAAAATTTGTAAATAGAGAAACTGAAACAATTTCAAAATTAGCAAAAAGAATTTAAACAATTTGTTACTGCACCCCCCACTTCCTCCCTGTATAAATTTCCTTTCTGATTTAACTAGGTTTATATTAGGGTGACCAAACGTCCCGTAAAAACAGGATTGTCCCGTTTTTTCACGATCGTAGCCATTGTCCCGAAAAAGTCTCTCGGGACACCTAAATGTTCCGTTTTTTAAGCCAAACACATTTTCAAATCACTAAAACATCCTAATTTATAATATAGCTTCAAGTTTGCCAGTGCCAGTAGTGATGCAGGCTCGCATGTTGGCTGCACTGCTCCCCTCCCCCACAGTGTCCCTGCCATAGATCTTGCATGTAAATGTATAGCAAAAGACATGAGACCTGAAGCTGGGGGGGATGCAACTTCGCAGAAACCAATTTTGATTCAGCTATCGCTACATGTAATTAGTGTAATGTGTAATAGCTATAGTCTTGTGTGTGATCCCTGCCGGCCAGTTCGTGTCAGAGTGACAGGTGTTTGTTTTGGGTGTTGAACTTTATTCTTTAATTTTATATTAGGGAAGCGTTATACGCAGTCGGCTGCGTATAACCCTGAGAGTTATACGCAGTCGACTGCGCATAACCCTGAGGGTTATTCACAGCCGACTGCGTATAACTCTCAGGGTTATACGCAGTCGGCTAGGAATTTAGCCAAATAAGGTTACCAATTGCTTGTTTGGCAATTTAAAAAAAAAGTATTATGCGTAATTAGCCGCAAGATGGGTTGTTTTGAACTAGAACTTTTAATGTGTTTAACGTAAAATTTTAATTGAATTAATTTTAATTAATATTGAAATTGATGATAGCAATAGTATTAGTATTAGTGCTATTATTAGTATTATTGCTTGTATCTTATATATTATAAGTATAAGTCAAAGTCTACATTTCTTAGAGTCTAAGTCTTAGATTTTTTTAAAGGCATTTCCATGGTCTTAGTCTAGTCATGTATTTTGATTGATTAGGTTTTTATATGTTGCTATGACTATGACTATGTGATTGGTTTTACTGACTAATTCAGGAAATACATTCTATTTATCTTTTTTTAAATTTTATCATTTATGATTTTTTTTTTTTGATGACCTAAATGTAACAATTTTCAGCTTCCATGCAAAACTATAACTGTGTGAAAGTATTACTTACACTGACCCCTCTACAGAACCCCTGCCCCTATCGGGCGATTTTTTTCCTGCTACTCTCAAACCATGATTATTTTTATTACTGTGCCAGTGAAACATGATTTTATCTGCCACAAAATTAGTTAACAACACAAACATATATTTGATAATTATAAGTATAACATTATTAATATTACATTGGTCAAGTTAATAATTCTTCTCATGTTTTTACATTTTTTAGCCAAAAAAAAAGTAAAACAATAAGCCTAGTTGTTGCTTCATTCTCGAGAAAAAGCATAGCAACTACCGTGTATTCATGGCTTGCCGTTGGCTGGAATTGAACTCAAGACCACCAACTATACGCAGTCGGCTGCGCATAACCACTTCGAAATAATATTATTCCTGATTTAATCATTTGTACTATTTTAAGTCTATTTACTATTTTAGTTTTGTACCTATAAAAGCTACATCAGTCCATGAGTGTTATTTAGTCAACATTAATTGCATTTGATTTTACAATTGATTTGCTGCACTGCAAGTCAGGACTGTAACTTCAAGATTGCATCCACTCAACATTTGATTGCTGTTTATATTGCCAAGCTGCCACTCACTTTTTTCAAAATACCCAAGATTTTGTAACAATTTCCCAAGGTTGTAAAAATACACTACTATAAAATTTTAATTTATAATTTTTACGCTAATATTTTGAATTAATGCATCAAAAGTACACCGTACAGTAATTGACTGAAATTTATTTAATCATACTATGTTTTCAAGGTTTATCAGATCAAATGAATTATACAATTTTGTTTTGAATGTTTAAAATATTTTTTTTTTACATTTTAACACACTAGATAGAAAAGTTAGCCCAAAGTCGGAGTGGCTATAGGTCACGTGAGGTCTTTATATTGTTCGGTTGTTCACGTGATGGTTATGACGGATGCTTCCTGTTGGTTTGCCATCTTAGAGCCATTATCAATCGAGAAATGTGTTATATTTGTAAGAATACGTTTATAATTTTATTGTATTTTTTAATTCTATTTTAAATATAGTTCTATAATCATTAACATGACATCATTCAAGATCAAAGTTGCTTTTTTTTTGGCGGCAAATTGGCTACTGTCTTATCTGTAATTGTAATGAAAAGTTTGGCTGCGACTATCCGGACCCGGTATCAGAAGTGGATACTTCAATTTTAATTCACCGCAAAAATTATTATTATTCACACTTCCCATAAAACAAATGTTATTTTGAATAAAAAACAATTAGGAGAGATCAGCCCGCGGCCGCCATCTTGGTTATCGTGACCCACGAACTTATGTTCTAAATGTATCCCCAAACCTAACCTGAACCCTAAATGTATTCCTAAACCTGTTCAATCTGAATTAGCTTAAAAAACTTTTATTCAAAAATTATTATACATTATTTCACATTTCCATTAAAACTTAAAACACTTCACACTTCCAATAAAATTAAAACAAATGTTATTTTAATTAAAAACATACATACTTCTTTAAAGGTCCTCCGCTACTGTAGTGGCCAAAATTGAACAATATCGTCTAGAATGGCGTTGAAGACATAAAAACCATTTACTTTAACACGTTGACGCCACATGAACTCACACATTGGCAAGTCGAGCATATGTCTGTGTGTGCCGTTGTGGCGCTTGTTTCTCTCTTTTGCAGATTTCCACAAACGTTCGATGCTTTGGGATTGGCTATTGGCACCTGAGTTTGGATCCAAAAACTTAACAGAATAAATGATCGTTTGATGAGTCAATCCCGGAGTGGTGCCAATTGCATTATATGCTCTCTGTTGATCTGACATGACTGTTGTGCCCAGCAGGATATGTGCTGTGATTATCGGCATAAGTGTGATGTGTAGCCGCTGATCTATCTTGTACACAAAACATGCAACACTCACTAATCTCCTGACAAATGCCCCCAGAGACCCATTGTTGTGGCAAAACTCGCCCGACATTTTTTTCTGCACGTAAACAGACTCGTCGATTTCAACTGAGAATAAACATGACTTACCTGTGTAAATTATGTGAATTTTTTATGGATGACGCATGAATGGATCCTAACACATGTGTTTTGGGAAATAAGGCCCATGGAGGCCCTGTAGACACCCCTGGCACAGAGTTCTCCTTTTCCTGCCCTCGGGGTACTTTTCTGTTGCTTCAGACAGAGCGATCCTTTTCACCACTGTGCATCCAATTATGGTTTATTTGAGCTGGGTGTTACTGAAAAAGTTGTCTGCATACTTATTAGTTATTATTATTATTCTCTCTCACAAACATTTTAATGATATATTGTGTAAAAATTAGCATAAGTACTCAAATGGGGTGCTTATCCCATGAGGCATATTTAAAGGCTCTATTTTTTCTAAAAATTCATAGGGGTCATCTCTATCCAATTCAGAAACCCTAATCCTAATCCAAGGATTCACAACATTTTCATAAACTTAATCATTTTGATTGTCTTCATTACTTTCCTGATTGTTTTCGTCAGTGTCAGATTCACTGCTAGACCGCGAGAAATCAAGAGGGT